GAAGATAATGTAGCATTTGTCTCAGTTTAGAAGATAATAAGTAATAGAATCCATAGATCATACAGATGGGTGCTGTGTCTTTCAAGACAATTCACTGTCAAACTATCAGGTTGAGGCATTTAAACTAAAGATATATGGGTAGTTTTGTAATATTGTGTATATCTACACACATATATGCACACAATAAGAAGAGGAAGTCTATAACATTTACCTATATTTTTCAATGTTTCTTTCAGATGTCTTATGATTCTTTATTGTTTACCTTTTTTTTGAAGAACTTTTCTTAGCCATTCTTTTAGTGCAGGTCTGCTAGTGACATATTCTCTTCATTTTCCTTTACCTGAGAATTTCTTGATTACCTCTACATTCCTAAAGGATACTTTTGCTGGATATAAAATTCTAGGTTTACAGTGTTTTCAGCACTTGAAAATATACTGCCACTTTCTGGCCTCTGTGGTTTCTGATGAGAAATCTGTTGTCAGTCTAATTATTTTTACACTTCTAAACGGCATTCAAGATTTTCCCTTCATCTTAGTTTTCAGAAGTTTGATTATGATATTATTTGGTATGGATTTTCTTTAGTTTATGCTTTTAAGGGTTTCTTCAGTTTCTTGAGTTTGCAGGTTTAGGTCTCTTGTCAAATTTGATAAATTTGAAGTCATTTTTTTAAAAATATTTTTCTTGTCTCCTCCTGGGGCTCTGGTGACATGGATAATAGGTCTTTTGTTCAGTCCTATGAATCCATGAGGCTCTGTTTACTCTTTACATTTGTTTGTTAAGATTGGATATTTTATATTATTTACCACTGATTGTTTTCTCTGTCCATTCCATTCTAGTGTTGACCCCTTTCATTACATTTAATTTTTTTAATTTAATGGTTTTATTTTTAATTTTTAGAATTTCGTTTAGAAACATTTATCACTAAAGCCAGTAAGATCTGAAATTTTCATTTTTCGAACAGTTTGATAAGCAATTTAGTATTTAATATGTATAGATTCATTCATATTATTTTTATTTTCTTGTAGTTCTATAGCTACAGCTTTTTGCTGAGACTCTTATTTTTCATCTGTTTCAAGTGTTTTCATAATTGCTCAAGGAAGGATCATGTTATGCCCAGAAATATATACCTATATATTTTTTATTCAATGTTTTAGGAACCAAAACATAAATACATTAATTTCTTTAGTAACAATATGGATTCTATTATAGAGCTACACCTTTAATTTGTCCAATTCTCTATATTACTAAAGCTTTTTTCTGTCATAAATAATGTTAGCTATACAAATAACTTAGTTTTATTATATCTATAATATAGTTTAGTAGAACTGGATTTTATTTGTCAAAGGATACTTACAAATTTAATTTTGATAAATATTTCTTTAAAAGTTGTGCCAATTTATACTTCCAATGATAAATGAAAGGATCTGTCTCACAAACTCACTCAATGTTATTATTACTAAGCATAAACTATGTATTTTTAATGCTAATGTGTATATTTAATGGCTAAAAGTAATATATTAGCATTAATTCAATTTGCACTTAATTATGAGTAAGATTGCATTTAAAAAAAATTTTTTTTAACGTTTATTTATTTTTGAAAGACAGAGACAGAGCATGAGCAGGGGAGGGGAAGAGAGAGGGGGAGACACAGAATCTGAAGCAGGCTCCAGGCTCTGAGCTGTCAGCACAGAGCCTGACGTGGGGCTCGAACTGGCAAACCGCAAGATCATGACCTGAGCTGAAGTCGGACGCCTAACTGAGCCACCCAGGTGCCCCTAAGATTGCATTTTTTACTATATGCTCACTTGGATTCTTCAACTATAAACTAATTATTTGATAATTTTAAAATTGAACTCTTCATTTTGTTTTTTAGCTTATTTTCAGAAACGCTTTTTCACTAAAAACATTAATCTTTTCTTTTGATATGTTTCTAATACTTTGCTGAATAGACTTTTTTTCCCTAGTCAATTTGAGAACCTATTGTATGACCTCTGTGATTTTCTTCAGAGGTCTATTGAGATTTTGACTGAAATTATATTGAATCTTTAGATCAATTTTGAGACACTTGACATCCAATAAATATTTTTCTCAAATAATTTTCTTAATAAAACATTGCGGTTTTTAGTGTAGAGAGCTCACACACCTTCCTTTAGATGGATTCTTGGGAACAAAATTTTTGTGATATTGTAAATGTTATCATTCTTATAATCAATTTTTGATAATTTTTTGCTGACACATATATATATAGAATAGAATTCTAGTTGTTGACATTGTCTTCAGTATCTTACTGAATTTACCCTATTTGTATGTTTTCTTTTTAGATTCTTTTGCATTTCTATGTGCTAAAGATACAAACTGGGAGGAATAACTGCTTATTTATTCTTCAATCTTCACATCTCTTACTTTTACTTACTGTACTGACAAAATCTTCCCGACAATGTTGAATTAAAGTATTGATATATAGTATCCTTATCTCTTCCTGATTTCAGTAATGCTTTCAGTAACTATCATTAAGTATATACTGTAGTGTTTTTTCCTTGTAGATATTCTTTATCACATAAAGAGTAATCCTTTTTAATCTTAATTGGCTATGGGTTTTCATCATGAGTAGTATTGACTTTTGTCAAACACTACATCTGTATTTCTGAAAAATATTATATTTTCCCTTTTAATGTTAATATAGTATATTAATTCCTTTCATATATATTAAACCATCTTCACATTCATGGAATAATAATAATATCTTACTGATAATGTTTGTTTTTCATGTTTGGATGTCAAGGTCATAATAACTATACAATGTGTTGAAAAGTGTTCTTCATTGTTTTTTTTCTTTTTTTATGTCTATTTTTGCCTTCATTTTTTTTTAGAGAGAGAGAAAGAGTGCATACACATGTGAAGCACACACACAGGGGAGGGGTAGAGGGAGAGAGAAAGAGAGAGAGGGAGATCGCAAACAGGCTCCATTCTCAATGTAGGACCCAATGCAGGGCTCCATCCCACTACTGTGAGATCATGACCTGAGCTAAAACCAAGAGTCTGATGCTCAACCAACTGAGCCACCCAGGTCCCCCTCTTCATTTTTCATATGGAATGTATGAAAACATTTATCACTAAAGCCAGTAAGATCTGAAATTTTCATTTTTCGAACAGAGTTTGATAAGGAATTTAGTATTTAATATGTATAGATTCATTCATATTAATTTTCTTGTCTCAGCTATGGTAAAATTTGTTTTCAAGTTATGTATCCACTTGACTTAAATTTTCATATGGATTGCTGTAAAGTTTATAATATTCCTCTGTGTATGTGTGTGCGTGTGTGTGTGTCTGGGTGAGTGTGTGTGTGTGTGTGTGTGCACATTTGGCAATGAGTAGGATCTGTAGTGATGTCTTTTTTCTTATGGAAAAGTATCTTACTTATTAATGCAATGACACATGACACAGATAAGGCTATCACTGATTATAAAGTAGGCTTTCCTTTATTATTCTTGTCTTTAGCTGGGTGAACTTGAACAAGCTTCCTAAAAATATCCAAATGTTAAAATTGTCAGTGATTCCATAATGAGAGTCTCCTTTATAGACTATCTTTGGATTTTGATAAAATCTGTTACTTATTGCATAACAGGATATGATAAAATAAATATGACCATTTGAAGTAAACATCTATTTGATCAATTTTCTTTATGATTTAATAATTGTTTTGCTTCTATAAAAACACCATAGAAAGTTCAATGTTCACATATTGGGTAACTTCATAGAAAAATTAAACTTTTCTGTGGTGTTCGGTGAAGTTTTATTAAAACTTTGATAAAGCTTCAAAAAAGATTTAGTTGTAGCAAATATTAACCTTGTATCATTGTAACTCTCCACTCACTTTTTAAAAGTAGTTTCCTTTATTTTTCTAGCCATTGACCCATAACAAATGTATCTATCTATAAATTACTTATTTTATTACTTATATTACTTATTGTAAAACTCTATTATTGTATTACTTACTATATTACTAGTTATATATTACTTATTATAAAACTATATTATTTATCATAAAGATGCCTCATAAGAAACCACTTAGAAAGGCCAAAGGAGGGAAATCTGATGGGCTCAGTTGGTAAAGTGTGTGATTTGTGATCTCAAGGTTATAAGTTTGAGCCCCATGTTAAGTGTAGAGGTTACTTAAAAATAAAATCTTTTAAAAAAAAGAAAGATGAAAAGAGACTTCTGCAATTCAATTCCTAATCACTCAAATCTTATTTTTTTTTTTATTTTTTTTAGGAGAGAAAAAAAGAGAGACAGCGTGAGCAGGGGAGGGTCAGAGAGAGAGGGAGTCACAGACTGAAACAGGCTCCAGGCTCTGAACTGGCAGTCAGCACAGAGCCCGACGCGGGGCTCGAACCCACGAACCGCGAGATCATGACCTAAGCGAAAGTCGGACGCTTAACCGACTAAGCCACCCAGGCGCCCCGATTCAAATCTTATTTTAAAATTGCTATATTTTTGCACATTGCTGGATTCCAAGTGAGGAAAAAAATCTGTTATACTTGTCTCCAGTGGCCTATTTTACTGATAAAAATCTGATATCTAAAATAGTTGGAAGATAAAAGAGAATATAATGGAATGTATTTTCTCTTGGAAGTTATGTTAGAATGTAGGAATGGTTGGAGTATTGGAAAAGACTTCAGACTGCTTCAATAAGTCATTTAAGAAATGCCATCACTTCATCTGTGACTACATGATACCAGAATAATTCACTAAAATACAAAGAAACCATTCATACTTGCTAGGTACAAACTAGTGACCTATTGGCAAAAATGGTATTTCATTTCAACATTTTCTTTAAAATGTCAATCAAATAAGATATATTGCTAACAGTTGGTTAAAAACTGAAAAAAAAAAAGTCTAGGTAAATAATAAGTAAATATTTTTGTGTACATTAGTTTAGATAATAAATTTGGGGGATATGTATATATTTTTTTACTAATTTAGGTGATTTTTTTCTGTACCTGAATAAGGATGGTATCAGTAGCTCTTTCCTGAACTCTTGCAATTAATTTCTCACCCTGGAGAAGACTTCAGGATGACTAGAATACTCAATGATCAAAGTTAATCTCATATCATCAAAACAAAATGTCTATGTACAGAGCACCCCCAAAAATAGATACAGACACTTCCCTCAGATTTAGAACATGTAACCTTTTACATAAAAACGCAGAGTTTATGGGGTACCTGGGTGGTGCAGTTGGTTAAGCGTCAAACTCTTGAGCTCGGCTCAGGGTCATAATCTCAGTTTGTGAGTTTGAGCGCCTCATTGGGCTCTGCCCTGATGGAGCAGGGTCTGCTTGGGATTCTGTCTCTTCTCTGTGCCCCTCTCCAGCTTGTGCACTCTCTATAAGTAAATAAATGAATAAATAAATAAATAAATAAATACACTTTAAAAATGCAGAGTTTATGAGAACTGTATCTTGAACTTGTAAAATCATTGTTCATTTAACTTTTTCTTGGTGTGTAGATAGAACATAAATATGAGATACTTGAGAGCATTTAGTAGAATTGAAAAAAAACATGATTTCTTTGTCATGTCACATGATAAAAAATTATTACTGCATATAATGTGGATACATAATCTTCAGAGCAATATTACATAACAATTTTTTTAAAATTCTATTTTTAAAAGAAAATAGTTTGATTCTATTAAATTAAGAAGGTAAACAAAATTTATGAAAAATAATAGTTTTATCTGCCATAGTTTTCAATTAAATTTTGGGTGTTAAAATCTGAGGGTTGTAAACTGTTCTACATCTTAAGGTTAGATTTAAAATAAATAGTGGGGCGCCTGGGTAGCTAAGTTCATTAAACGTCCAGCTCTTGATCTCGGCCCAGATCATGATCTCACAGGTTTGCGTGTTTGAGCCCTGAGTTGGGCTATGTACTGTCAGTGAGGAACCTGCTTAGGATTCTCCCTCTCCTTCTCTCTCTGTCCCTCCCCTGCTCACCCTCTTTTTCTCTCTTTCTCTTTCATAATGAATAAACTTAAAAAAATAAATAAATATCATGGAACACAAATTTACTGTTAGCAAGAATGCAGACATTTCAAACTCACAGATTTTTGATGCAAATACAATTACTTTGAAAGTTTTCTGGCTGTGTCTAATAAAATTTGACACACGTACCTTTATCACCCACTCCTAAATATATACTCAAGTGGAATGTATACATAATGAATACACATACAATGAGCACAAAAGAATCTTAAATAAGTTTTTCATAAAAACCCCAAATAAGAAACAACTCAAATGTTAGTCAATAAGAGAATGGATAAATAAGTTTTGACATATTCACACAATGGAATATTACACACCCATAAAGAACATGCTGCTGATACACACAGTGACACATGTTAAGGTGAAACATACTATGCTAATTTAACTAGTCTGAAAGAAAAGAACACAGGTTGTATGATTTCATTCATACAAAGTTTAGAATCAGGCAAAATTAATCAATGGTGGTAGAAATACAAAAAGTGCTTAGCAAGGGATTAATTTGAAAGAGGCATGAAATTATGTACATGCAGTGTATTTTTTCAGCTGGTTGATGGTTATAAGCAGTGGTGTCCTGGCTTTCTGGGAGGCTGAGGTTGGAGAAGTCCTACTTTAAAGCACAGGAAAATGTCCATGTTGTAAATTCTGTCACCATGGTAGATTTCAAACTACCAATGTGACATCACTGAAGTGAGACCAGGAAGAGATGTGCACAGAAGCTCTTGTGAGCCAGTGTGAGTAGGCCTTGGTATAATGCTAGTTGCGAGGGTGTATATATTTGTCAAGATGCATCAAGTTGTACACTGAAGATTTCTGCATTTTAATACAGTTAAATTATATTTTAAACACTAAAATAACTTATAAAAAAGAAAAACATGGAAAATGTCTCTAACCTCTTTTAGTAACTTGAAATGTAACATTTAAAGGTCACTCACTAACAGTGATATATTTCTTAACTAAGACATGTTTATGAAGAATTTAAGTTTGCTACATTATTTTAGATGGATTATACAGATGAATAAACCTTTGTCCTTATCCCCCAGTACAATTATAGAAATAAAAGGTGCAATTAAGGAGATTTGAAAAATACATCAGTAGTTGGTAACATATGGTAAGAAATGTAAAATCCAAGTACACACACACACACACACACACACCAAGTACGTGGTGTTACAGCATATAACCAGTAAAAAAAAGAGAAGTCTTCACAGTATTTCCCCCTTGATTTCTTGCTTTAATTGGAAACTCATGCCCAAATTTACCTGGGTGAAAGTGACTTGACATTTTCCTAGTTCTCCAGTGATGCTATGTGATCAATACTCTTGTGCCTCCATGCACAATTTTTTATTATTTTATACTTCTTAAAGTATAGGACATTCACTGAGGACTTTCTCCCTGCTTACATGGCCTACTATACCCTAAATCCTATCATCGTTGAAAGTGCTTTCAGCATCTATGAGAATGGAAGTCGAGCCCAAGAATAACCTAATCTCTGGGATTTGCTAACGTGGGTTAGCCATGCCCTTAAGTGTCTCCTGCAACATCATTAGCTAAAACTTCTGCAACTTTGAACTCTAGTGGCCAACTTCTTGATCTTAAACTTCTGGTTTTCCAACTTTCTCCTCATCTCATTCCTTATATCCCTTAAATGTATCTTAGATTTCAAAAACATTTCCAGTCCTTGCCTTTGTCCTTTCTACTTTCTTTGAGGCTTATTGTTCTATTTTAGGCCTTCCTCCTCTCCTCTTCCTTCCTGTCTGACTCTGAAGGTTGATTATTCTCTCATTACCTGGCACTGGAATATACTAAACTTTTAATAAATATTAGTTGAATGAATAAATGAAGAACCTCAATGCTCATTGCCAGAGATAAGCACACAGTTACAAAATGGTTTTAGAAAGACGCCATGACATATGTAATAAATTGTGAGTTAAAGTTACAATTAATTTAACACATTGTGCTAAAGTGAATAAATAAACCTTCACAGAGAAATTACAACATACTCTATACATTATTCATTTAATTGATGACGATTTATTCAACCCTATATAATGTTCTTTGAAACTGGTAGTCCTTTTTATGTTCTAAATATTTTCAAATTATGATTAGAAATCTCTTTAAAATCTTCAAAATGAACTTCATTGCATTGTTTGATACCATATGCTATATAGCTTTAAGCTGTCTGTGCTTGGTCAGGCTTCACAAATCTTCTGTTCACCATTCAGGAAAGGTGGCTATTTAAATATTAATGAAAAACAACAGTGTGACTTACTGAAGTGGCGCCTTGCCAACAATTTTGTGTTTCCTTTTTTGTTTTTTTTCTTAAATACCTAGTGCTGTAACATATTAGTAATTTTAATTCTAACATCTGAATTACCTATTCTGAAATGATACATATGTTTAAAATGCATTTCTGAGGTTACCCTGAATAATTTGTATGTAATTATTAGAGCAACTTCCCATTCTGTGAGTTGGGAAATCATTTAGTTTCAAACTAAGTTACTGTACTATTTATAAAAGATATGGATAATTCTAAAACTCACACTTATGTGATCAGACCCTAAAGACAGGAAATGCATTTATTTATGAAGGAAAATGAACATTTGTTAATCTAGGAAATATTAGAAGAGAAAATCCATCATTTGTATTTTATACTTTCTCAGACCATCAAGTAGAATAATTCAAATGTATAAAAAAAGTTTTTTTTTCCCTAATAAATGTATATTCGAATAAGGACGCCTGGTGACTCAATCTGTTAAGCATTTAACTTTTAATTTTGGCTCAGGTCATGATCTCATGGTTTGTGGGATGGAGCCCAGCATCGGGCTCTGTACTGACAGCGTGGATCCTGCTTGGTATTCTTTCTCTCTCCTTCTCTCTCGGCCCCTCCTCTGCTTGTGCTTGCTCTTTTTCTCTCAAAATAAATAAATAAATATTAAAAAATAGTATGTTAGGGTATAATGACAAAACTTTATAAGAAACAAAACTCTTCTACTTCAACAGCTAATGAAACTTTACTTAGTGTATAGGAATTGGTTTTTTTTCACTGTGAAGTGACGCATCTGACATGATCTAAATGATTTGGTAAGAAATAGCAAAAAAAAAAAAAAAAAATCCATGGTTTGCTTCCATGGAGAGTGTCCAGGAGAATCCATTACATATATTTTTGACCAACTTGTCTGCTTTTGTTTTGTGTAAAATAGGACCTTTGCACTGACTGATAAAATGATTAGAGGTCACTTTTTGTGTATGTTGCCTAGTCATATTGAATAACACCTGCTCAGTCATTTCAATATCTTTGTATCTAGCTTTTGAATAAGAAGGTATATATAAGCAAAGAAGATACTAACAACATGAATGTTCTTAAGAACATTAGATTAAAAAATTTAATGTTTATTTTTGAGAGAATAAGAGAGGGAGGAGCAGAGAGAGAGGAGGACAGAGGATCTGAAGTGGGCTCTGTGCTGACAGCAGAGAGCCTGATGCAGGGCTTGAACTCATGAACATGACACCTTGAGTTGAAGTCGGACACTTAACTGACAGAGCCCCCCAGGTGCCCTTGGATTTTTAAAGTATAAATTTAAACTGAGATTTATTTTAATGTTAGAATTGACAGCACTCAGTGATATTTTAGGATTAATCAGGAAATTTCACCTTGTTCAAATTCTGGTTTTAGAGAGAATCACATATACTTTTCATATTCTACCAAGTTTTGGAGCAATTCAGTCTATTTCACATGTCATGTGCTTTATATTTGAAAATAAATATCAAAATAATGTTATATATACATGTGATGGGATTGAGCAAGATCAAATGATTGGATTATGTGGTCTAGCTTGATAACTTATCTGTTTTGGCACCAGAAATTGCTTCTGTTTCTAACAGGCCCAATATAGTCAGCTGTTGGCATAAGTAAATGTGTCCATGCCCAATAATGCCAGGGTAAAATGACATGAATATATTCAGCAAAATGTTGAAATGACACATTGGGTTAATGGCCAAGGAATTTATTTATGAACATTAACTAGTTGCATCTCTATAAAAATGTATTTGTTTGTGGCATGTGGTTAGATATTTATAGACAGAAAT